CGGAGCCCAGCCCAGGGCACACCTGCGCTTGGGAGCCGACCCCGCCGCGTGGCGCCTGCGGTGGCCTTCACCAGTGTCGCCGCTGCCTCAGACTGATGTCCGGGCCACGGAGCCACGCACGGCCCACCAGAGCGCGGGGCAGGCAGCCCCTCCAGCCCGCCCCGAACGCCCCCAGGGCAGACCCCGACTCTCGCGCCCCCTCTGCCCCCAGATCATCTTCACAGAGGACTACCAGCGCGTGGAGGACCTGGCCTGGCACCGAAAGCACTTCGTGTGCGGGGGCTGTGAGCAGCCCCTGAGCGGCCGCGCCTACATCGTCACCAAGGGGCGGCTGCTGTGCCCCACCTGCAGCAAGTCCAAGAGCGCCTGAAGGCCCCGCGCCAGGCCCGGAGGACCCCGGGGGGGGGCTGGCCCCCTGAGGGCCAGCACGCAACAGAAACTGCCTTCCGCGGGAGCAGCCGTGTGCGTGTTCCAGGCCGGTGTGCTGGACCCCGCCGGGCCCGGCCCCCGCAGAGCGTCCCCAGGCCTCTCGGGACGGAGAGGCCCGCTGCCTCTCCCGTTTCCCGCTGCCACCTAACACAGTCAGCATCCGGCGAGGGCGCCAGGAGTTTCCCAGAATGCACTTGTGAGTGATGGAAGCCTGTAGCTGTAGAAAGTGCCTGCTTTTTCCCGAAGTGGGGGCTCCCCCAGGACACGCGGGCACCCCACCCATCATGCATTGCCTTCTTTTCAAATGGAATTTGAATTTTAAATAAAGAACTTTTATGTGTATCAATAAAAGTCTTAGGAAGTCCACAGGTACCTTATTTAGTTATTCACAGCTCTTGGGGACTGGGGCCCCCTTGGGGACTCACCCCAGATGAATCTGCGTGCCCCCCAATGTCGCCGCCAGCAGCGGGCGCTGTTGCCATGGGCAGCTCTTCATCAACAGTGCCTCAGCAGACTGCTAGGAGTGTAAGTCCAAGGGGTAGAACCCCCCCCAACTCCAACTCCAGGGACCCCCAAAGCACAGCTGGAACATGAGGCTCGTGTGTCACGGCCCCACAAAGGTGCCCTGGGACCTGGGACTTCATCCGGAGAGGAAGCTGCCCTCGGAGCCCAGGCAGGCAACAAAAACCCTCACCTGGAAGTGAGGCCAGTACAGTCAGGGAGCAGCCACACGGGGCCCAGGCTCGGCTGCGGGGTCTCCCCAGCGACGTGACCAGCTGCACAGCGAGGTTTCCCGGAAAAACCCTATTCTGCGCTGTTGCCATCTAAACGAGCCATATTCAGCAGGGCCCGCGGGGGCTGGAGCCTTTCTCTTTATGCCTGAGCACCCACAGCCCCCTCGCTGCCACTTCTAAGACATCACGACTCCCCACAAGGGGAAACAGGCCCAGAGCGCGCCCCCTGGTCACCCGGCCTGTTTCCATGGACTGCCAATCTGTTTCCAGCTTCCTTTCATTTCACATCTGAAGTCCACTCTGGCCACCTCTCAGTGACCCCGCCCGGTGCCTTGCAAGCTGTACCTGCTGCAATTCCCCCCGGCAGAGTGTCCAGCGCCTCTGTCCAGCCTCAGCACCCCTGGCAGTTCCACTTTCTCAAGAAGTTGGGGGGGTCATCCTCCTCACCCTCACTCCGAGGCCCCCACTGCCTCTCACGTCAGGGCCAAGTTCCCACCCTGACATTTAAATCCTTCCAAACCCGGCTTAATTGTCCTGCTCTTACTCCCTTCCTTTGTCTAGATTTCCATTCCTCCCAGACGTTCAGAAACGCCCCTCGCCAGGCCTCACCCCCGCCAGGCCTGCGCGAGTTCTGTGCGTGTGACTAGAAGCTCCGCTGCTCCTGCTCAATCTGTCCTGCACGGCTCTTCCCAACATAACCTGCTTCTCGTCCCCTCCAGAGGCACCAGTGGAATATTCACACCTCCTTTTGCCCGTTCTTTCATTCATCCATGCCACAAACTGCCACTGAGCACACAGGGCTCCCTCCCCACACGAGTGCTAGGCACCGGGCTCACAGAAGGAGCAGTGGCCCCTGGAGGCGACAGTCCATGCGGGGCGGTGAGCCAGGAGGGAGCTTCCAGCCAGGAAGCTGCAGAAGGGGGTGTGGGGGAGGGCTGTAAAGCACATGGGAGAGAGTGGACCTGGGGCGATGCCACAGACCTCCCCACTGGGGTGTGGAGAGAGGACACGCTTCTGGGAAGGGGACACTGGAACAGTCATCTAAAGGGTGCGTGTGGCTGATCAGGTGAAGAGGGGAAGGATGACAGTTAACTGTGGGTACGCGGGCAGCATGTGCAAAGGCCCTGCGGTGAGCGGCACGCAGTGATTCGATGCCAGTGTTGGAGCGCGCATGAAGTGCCAGACACAGGCCTCCAGATGCACCCCCCATCTCCTCAGCACCCACTGCACCCATGCGGAAAGCGAAATTTAGCCTGGTGATTAAGTGCTGTGATTTTCCTGAGACCCACTGGCCTGGCTTCCTGCCCCCCTTCGATGCCAAGGGAACATCTGGCAGGTCCCAGATGGGCCGTGCTTGCCTCCCTCTGCCTCCGGTCCTGCTGCGGGCTCCTGTCTCCCACGTGGCCCTCCACTGCAGGTCCACTTAGCTGGGTGGGGTCTGCCAGACAGGGGGGGCCGCAGAAAGCTGTGCCGGTTTCCCCACGCCAGCGGGAGGGCGGCCCCCGCTCCCTGCGCTCAGCAGCTCCCAAGCCCGGCGCTGCGGGAACTTCGCCGGCGCTTTGTGACAGCAGGGCGCACGATGGGCACCGCCTGTCTGTCCGCGTGCTGCGCGGCTGGCAGAGGGCCCCTGGGCACCGCCTGGAACAGGGTCTCGGCAGAGGCCTGGCGAGTCAAGGCGGCGCACGCACCTAGGCCTGCGGCCCTCCCTACGGGCACGTGGCACCGGGCGCCCGAGGGCCTGGGCCAGACGTTCCGCACGGAGGCCACCACTGCAGGCCGCCCACCGCTGCCTCTGTCCACCCGACGCCCTCCTTCCTGAGGGCAGGGCACCCGTGAGAGACTCTCGCTCTCCCGCCTCTCGAGCAGACCGAGGGCGCAGGACCCCACTCGGCCAAAGGGGCTTCGCGCTTGCCATCGGGCCCAGGGCCAGGGCAGCATCGGGGGCTCCCTGGGGTGGCTTTGATTGGCCCAGCGTGGGCCACGTGCTTCTCCCTGGGCCAATTACTGAGCGCAGGGGGCGGGGCACTCCGAATGACCGCCCCGTGGGTAGGGGTGCTCTGATTGGCCATCCATGGGCAGGCGCATTCTGATTGGCCATCCGCTGGGTCGGGGCACTCCGATTGGCCATCCCGTGATCACGCGCCAAGCATCCCCCCCCCGCCTCAAAGGGGATAGAAAAGACAGCCGCGTCCGCGCGCCCCGGGAGAGCGGGATCGCTGTGCCCCTCAGGCTCGTGCGTCCTGACGCGTTTTTTAATTACTGGCAAGATAAGACTAATGTTTTTCAAGGCCTAAATAAAGTGGAATTCCCTCAGGGAAATGTCTAGAGGGCTCCATTGTGGCCTCTTTATTTTTTCTAATTCTACAGAAGATGATAGAGATATACTAAACTTTTTATGGGAGAAGTTTAATAAACGTGAAGGATGTGCTTCCAGGCATTCAAATAAGGAAAGTTTTAAAATAGCAGAGTGACACAGCAACTAATGATCCCAGTATGTTAGATTATGCAGCCGCTGGCACCAGCCTCCGTTTTTAATCAACTATATAAATTATGAAATATTGTTGCAAAGAATTGCAAGTCTTGGCCCTACAAGGGAATGGCTTGTACTGGGTTGGCAGGAGCGCTGGGGAGGCCATCTTCAGCTGATAAGAGAAGAGGAAGCGGGAGCAGACCAGCTGGCCACCTTGGCTGGGCCTGAAGCTGGACAGAAGAGCCCCAGTCCCCCGCCCAGGCTAAGTGGGGGCGCTGTCTGTTCCACACATCGCCTGTGTGGGCCAGAGCATGCAAACAAACACCCTTGGCCACTAGTGCCCACCTGAAAGGTCACCCTTCCTGCTGCCCCTCAGCATCCAGGCTCAGCACCAGTGCCCCCTCCTCCAGGAAGCCCTCCGGGTTCCTTCAGAAATGCCTCCTCAACTGACCTCCCCCGTCAGCTTCTGTGACTTGTCTCCCAAGTAACTGGCAACTCGCTGGCTCCTGAGCTCGCTCACTCGCTGCGTTCACTGGGCACCGTGAGCGGGTGGGCACGAGGCGAAGTCCATGGCTGAGGGGACGTGGGGCCTGCTGCCAGCAATCCGGGGAGGGAACTCTACCCCTTGGGGAGCCGGTGTAGGCATGATGTGCTGGGACACCTTCGCTCTCGAGGGAAAGGCCAGCCTCACGGAGGACCGCGGCCTGCACCAGTGGACGGACTGGCCTCCAGGGTCCGGCAGTTGGACGGACACCCCCTTTCTGAGGTTAAGCTTCACATCCCACCCTGCCTGCACCTGTCCCACCACAGAGGCTGGGCCCCCCCTCTGCCAGGCATGGAGTCGGGAGGGACCATCGTGGCTTCCAGAGAAGCGTGCTGGGTGGGAGGGCGCACCCAGGTTACACCCGCGCACCCCCATTTTTTAAGGAAAGCACTTTTTTTTAATCAAACCTTTCTTTGTTAAAATCCAAGCCTGGGCCCTCCCTGGTGGCACAGCGGATTACAGCACAGCACTGGGAAGCTAAAGTCACTTCAGCACGAGTTCAATCCCTGCCCAGAGGTGACCCACATGGCCAGCCCGCTGCTCCCCTCAGCGGTGGACTTCGTCCGTAGGCCTGCTCTGCTCCCCACTCGTCTCTGGGTGTTCTTTTGCTCCAGAATCATATTTGGGGCTGTCGACTCAGGGGACTGATTTCTCTCTGTGTCGGATGGCCTCACTGCTCCCCAGATCACAAAATGCCATGGAAACTCCAGATGTGACACGTGAGCACAGCTTCTTGTCACACTTGTCGGGGCGTAACACCCCCTTATGGGTCAGGGAGGAAACGGACTCTTGCTTCAAGTCTGCAAAGACCCTTGGTGATGACTGAAGAGCATCCGGCCCCTAGAGCCCCACATCCGCTCTGGGCTTCCTGTCCGCCCAGGTCCTGCAGGGACGGGCAGCTGCCCAGTTGCAAGCAGCCGTGTGAACTGCGCCCACTGCGCACAGCTCTCTGAGAGCAGAAGTCTCCTGAGTAATGCCCCAAATCCAGTCACTCTGGAGTCCTCAGAAAAGAGCCTAACACGGTGCTCAGGCTGTCCATGCCAGGTTTGCGTGTGATTCCCAAAAGGAAACCGAAGGGACACCGCCCGGCCGGCAGCCGCAGGGCCAGGGGCCCAAGGGGGTTACGCTGCCTCTGGGGAGACCCCCGCGGGGGGCGGGGGGGTGGTGAAGTCCCGGGGTGCCTCCTGAAGTGACACGGACCTAGAAAAATAAACACCCGCTTCACACATAAGCTCTGATGGAGGCGAAGCCCACACCGCGTCCCAGAAGCCACGTGCCCAGGGCCAGGCTGGCTGCTCAGTGGCTGCGCCCGACTTCACTGTGGCCTCTGCTCGCTTGGCAGAGACTAAACTCTCATTAGCGCTGCCGTCTGCTGAGAGAAGCCCGCGCCGGTGATGAATCATGCCCGGGAAAATGAAGAAAGCCCTCCAGAGGCCGACACTTGTTCCTCTGCAGATAAAGCTGCAAAGGAAACTAATGAAGGCTTTTATTTTTCATTTAGGCTCAATTTCAAAATGCTCCATTACCGAAGGCCCGGGGAGGTTTTCCAGGTCCTGAGGACGTGGCGGCTCCACAGGAGAGAA